ATTATTTATTTTATTTTATTGTTATTTATGTATATTTATCATTTTAGTTCGCAATTATATTTTATAAATTAAAAATAATAATAATAATGTATTGTTATATATATATATATATATATATATATATATATATATATATATATATATATATATATATATCAAGGAAGAGAGAGTGCACCTGTGCTTTCGTATACACTTAAGCACTATAATCCTGTCCTGCTCCGATGGCTTGCCTTCGTTGAGGCAGGCCGAAATTCGGTCTGGAGGACATTATTATTATTATTTTTAATCTATAAAATATATAATTGCGAACTAAAATGATAAATATACGTAAATAACAATAAAATAAAATAAATAATAATAATAAATAATTATTATTATTATTTATTTTATAATTATTATTATTATTTAGCTCTCTCTTTAGGGATGAGGAAAAGTCACTGAACTCGCGAGACCATCAATCTCAGATACCTGTATACGATAAATATAAAGTATATTTTACCGTCTAGAAAAAAAAAATGGATGTAACAGACGAACGGAGCCTATGGCACTGATATTTTAAATTTTTTTTATTTTACATTTACATATTATGAAATCTATCTATCAATAAATACTACTAATTGTGTACCTGTTCTTTTAATTTCGATTGTTTTTAATTGATTTATTTATTTAGTTCAAAAATTTTCTTGTCCTTTTTGTACCGTAAGTTTATTTCAAATTAGTAATATTTATTGTTAGATAAAATTAATATGTAAATGTAAAATAAAAAAAAATTAAAATATCAGTGCCACAGGTTTCTATTGCGTTTACCTGTTTACACCCTATTTTTTTCCATATGTTAAAAAAATCAGATCACAGCAGTCTGTGAACACGTACAGCATCGTTCCCGTCACTACATCATATCTGATAGGCCACAAATTCTCGCTAAAGAACACTGATTCCTTCCAAGGATGATTCGCGGGGCTATTGAAATTAAAAAACATTTTAATTTCAATAGAAAAGATGGCTGGGTGCTGCCATCTGCTTGGGATCCCATAATTAATAAAATATAATCCCAATCCAAGCATACAACTGCAAGACTTCAAGATACTATAAGTTGCTACTGTGTAGATCTGAACAAAATTAAAAGTTTTAATCTGTGTGTAACCGCGGTTAACTATGACATCTGTACGTTGAACACCTCAGGGTTCAACATCCTGATCATGGTGGGACCCGTGACCATGGGTGTTGTAAAGTGCTCGAAACATCGGGAATATAAAACAGTTAATATACGCGATAAAATCCGTAAAAGTAGTTTTATTTAAATGTGTAGTGTTTGCGTAAATATAAGAATATATACGCAATGCAATACAATGTATTAGCAATTTACAGCTAAGAAGTTTTACTACTGACGTGTAGTCTCTACAAGATACACTTTTAGAAACACACAACTTTATTAATAGTTTATTTTAGTTTATCAATAGTTTATTTCAAATTAGTAGTATTTATTTTTAGATAAATTTCATACGCATAATGTAAAGTATCAGTGCCATAAAGTTCATACTGTATAGATCGAAACAAAAATTAACAATTTTAATCTGTGGGTAACCGCCGTTAACCATTACATATGGACGTTGAACACCTCAGTCCCTCAGGTGACCATGGATGTTGTAAAGTGCTCGAAACATCGGGAATGTAAAAAATTTGATAAAAAAGATAATATATATATATATATATATATATATATATATATATATATATATATATATATATATATATATATATATATATATACTCCTAGTAGAGTCTTAGAAGCGCTCTAATCCTCATCTACCAGAGTCCGATTTAACGCTAATAAATGGAGGTGAAATCACTGAAGTGCTTATCTCTACAAATAAGGTGTCAAACGACGCATCTACATAATATTAACTGGCCCATGAAACATTTACGAATATAGGTACATCTATATGCCGATTTAGAATGAAAATACAGATACGTTATTTATAATTATGACTATTATATGAAATGCTTCGTTACAATCAAAAAGAGTCTCCGTTTCGTCACTCACAATAAGGAATATTGTAAGTGACGAAATGGAATATTCTATAAGAGAGTTCTTATTGTCGAAGCGGCCCTTTCGTATATATATTTGTGAAGCTAAGAAATTTTCACTACTGACGAGTAGTCCATTCAAGATACCCTTAAAGGAACATATAGCTATATTAATAGATTTAATTATTACTGAACTTTGATTAAAAAATCTATTAATGACGTTATTCATAGATTTTTTATTTATAGATTTTCAAGGTGTTATATCTATATACTGTATATGTAGCTGTGTACTCTTTATTTGACTTTGGCTGAAGGTTTCCATGGACCGTAGTAGCCACATACCATTGGATAGACTGTACTCGTAAGTTCGTTAACACTTCATTTTTATTAAAAAATTAGTTTGAGTTTCGAAATACTACGCAAAAATTCGTTTGTGACATATTTTAAGGGTAAAGTTACTATCATTATGACAGTGAAAGTGAAAACCAACTTATGAACTATGTGTATGTTATGTTTCCTGATACTTATTTAATTTAAAAATTTGATCATGAGTGCACGTGTATGTCCCAAATACTATAACGTTGATTATAAAAATTTGTTCATGAGTGCACGTGTATGTCCCAAATACTATAACGTTGATTATAAAAATTTGTTCATGAGTGCACGTGTATGTCCCAAATACTATAACGTTGATTATAAAAATTTGTTCATGAGTGCACATGTATGTCCCAAATACTATAACGTTGATTATAAAAATTTGTTCATGATTGCATGTGTATGTCCCAAATACTATAACGTTGATTATAAAAATTTGTTCATGAGTGCACGTGTATGTCCCAAATACTATAACGTTGATTATAAAAATTTGTTCATCAGTGCACGTGTTTGTCCCAAATACTATAACATTGATTATAAAAATTTGTTCATGAGTGCACGTATATGTCCCAAATACTATAACGTTGATTATAAAAGGAAAGGCTTTTAACGTTCGATTTCTCGTATGTACTTACAAACAGGAATGGAAAATGTAGATTCTAAGTTAAAAAATTAAAACAAAAAATAAAACAAGTACGTTTTTTATTCATATTCACTGCGACAATGGCGGAACCGATTTTAATATTTTTTTATTAATTGATATTATACTTCAGGGATAGTAGCATATAAATCTGAAGAATCAATTTCATCGCTTGGGGTGAAACAATAGGGGAGAAGATTGTAATGTGAAGCGATATTTTAGCTGTTTCCTTAAAGTTGTTCCCTGTGCCACTCAATAGGGTTAAATTAGATATTTTCAACTTTCGATAAAAAGTAAATCAACTTCAAAAGCTTCTGAATTCGGTGCTTACTTAGTTTATAGAATTTTAAGGACGAATTTATTATATGCGTTTAATTTTCACTTATTTTGAATCCCAGACATTTCGAGTGCTTTACCCATAGTTATGGTGACTACGGGTGTACGGTGTACGTATATATTACGCATATAATATATTCACGTAAACATAAAAATATTATGTGAAGTCATTATGGTTGCCACCAATACTTAATATTTATTTATTTTTAATTCACGACGTTTCATGTTTTAGATCAGCAGTCCTATCTATATAAATTTGAATGTTTTGTTTTTAATTTCTTAAGCCTTGCGAATAAATATTATATCTATGTACTTAAAATTTTATGAACCTAAGATTTGTAGTTTTTCGTCTATAACCTTTTGTCCGCCGTAACTTATAATGACACATGTGCTTACGACTAAATTTTGCAAAAGGCGTTATTTGCATGATAAAAATTGGAAATTTTTTATCGGAAATAATTGTCACAATTGGTTATATCTGGTTTATTTATTTTTACTAACTTCATCACTATAATATTTCACATACACATTTAATTTATGATATACAATTAATCATAATGAAATTAAAGTCTTATAAAATATGCAAACCTTTTAGTAAATAATTTTATTTATCAACATCACTAGGCGATATCTTTAGTCGTTCATAGCGTGAGTACTACTTTGCCACCTTTTAGTCAGTACTACCTTTTCTGAACTACTGTCAGAAACATTTAGTGTAGTCCACATGGTTGATTATATTTTTTATTAATGAAATAAAATAATTTATTGGATTTAAAAATGAAAAATGTTAAATATAAGAAAAATAAATAAAAATATTCTTCAACGAAAATCTACGAATTTGTCCAATCGTATCCCAAAAAATAAATCGTGCTAAGTGCGTAAAATAATTAAATATAATTCTAGTAAATAAAGTAAATAAAATATATGCCATTTTTTGCTATTTCTTTACGCCTATTATTGCTCATCACAGGAATTGTGATTTAGTCTATGGTTTTGAAGTACCTAAGACTTATTAAGTATAATTCGAATACAAAATTAAGTGAAACCTCTGCTGTGTACAACATAAGGCTTAAGCACGTGAAATTATACACCGAACTTCTTACAATGTAAGCCAACCACATAACAATAATACTATTTTGGAGAAAGTGGTAAAGCCTACTTCAAGTATGTTAAATAATATAGGTTAAAAAGAACAAAACTTTTTGTTTTTGGATTATTTAATCTCATATTTGTAAAATTTAAGTCCCTAACTCGCAAAAATGTAAATTGTTCCCATAAGAACATAACTACGGTGAAATACAGATATTAATACGATTTTGCTAAATTAAATTTCTTTTGTATAAAAAATAAATATCACTGCCCCATTTTTATATTCCTTATTGAATTTTTAAAATTTTTATTGAATTTATTATTTAATTTTTAATTTTAACATTCTTTTGTTATATTTTAAATATTAATAAAAAACTGTTTATTACAGTTTGTATTTATGAGTAATAAAAGACATAAAATATTATAATTCACTAAAGATCTACAAATTATGCTTATTTTTATATCATAGGATTATAATTAATTAGAAAAAATAATGAAAAAATGTTAATGGGAATATAAAAAAAATACTCACCGAATATAAAAATAATATAAACCATTTTGTAAGACATTTTTATCTTTCACTATAAAATACCGATTAAATCGTGAACTAATTAAATATATTATAAACTATAGTTAAACGATACGAATCGTTATACGTGTGAGGAGGCACGCACAAGCGGTCGTTCGTGCCGCTACTTATTGCACACTGGCTGCGGCTGCGCAGGCGCATGTCGATCGCTGCAAAGGCGAAGGAATCTCCAAATTACCGTAACGGTACAGTCACCCTAATTAGTCAGAAGTCGTATAAAACAGCGGTGATCGTCGTAAATAATCGGATTTAATTAGAAATAACCACAATTTACAACAGCGTTCCATTTCATTAAATTAATTAGTTGATTGTTTCCTTCAGGGTATGTATATAGCGCTAGGTTCTTTTAAAACAGATTTGTAATTTATAAGCTATATCCGAAAACGCAAAACAAGCTTTAGTACTCTTAGAACGCATCTGTATAGAATACTGGTCATAGAACCGAAGCTAACATACATTTTTCAATGTGACTGCGATTTATTATTTATACAAATCAATGTTTGATAATCTTCAACGGTTTTGCATCGATTGCGAATAGATAATTTTTGAATCTAAACATTTACATATGTTAATTTTCTTATTATAATTTCTCTCAAAGGAGCCACTTGATATAAATAAACGTAAATTATTATATAAATACAATACGGTTTGAGTTTAATAAACTAGAGTACACTGACAGAGCTTTCGTGTCACAATGACCGCCTACGCATTAACGGAATCTCATTGTTCATCAAAACTTTCCAACTTTAATAGATGCAGGATTGATTCTTTAATTTTTTTATAGAATGAAGGTGTCAAACGAGCACGCAGTCCACCTGATGATAAGTGGATGCTGTGGCTCATAAACATCTACATTTATCCTTAATTAATAGTTAAAATGAAAATACGTTGTCAACTTTGAGGACTTAGATTAAATGCCGAGATAAAAAGAGTCTCCGGTCCTCTACAGTCACCATACGAAACACTGCAGCAATAGGCTGCTATTTGACGCTGGTATTCAGTGAGAGCATGGTCCTTACTCGGGTGAGCTGACCCATTCGTGCTACAATCATAATATAGCTGCAGTGTGACTCTACCATGTCAAAAAAATTACAAAGCTTATATCATCTCAACAGTGATATCCCACAAACACAAAATATCCTATTTAATTACCTAAGTCGTGCTATAGTGTACATTTGTCTATCAAAAACACAAAGTTTCAGATTTTTTTTAGTTTTATTTTAAATAACATAAAATTATCAATAAATAAATTTATATACATTCATCTTGCGACTATTGCAACTTAATCTATGTATCTTTCTCATTCATACGTTCCCACGTTCCTTTAAAATAAAATGAATTGAACACAATAGATACTTACATTCTTGGAATGAAAAGAAATGTTATATTTAGAAATTGAATCGAGCGAAACGTTAAATAAATAAAAGCCTATTTTATGTCGCAATTAATAGGGCCAAAAACATCGCTAGTAAACATTATACCTACCTTAAAGTAAAAGGAGACAATAAAAAACAACACTGCTTGTTAAAAATAAATGAATACAAAGAATAAAACGTAAATAACGCAATTCTAATCATTCTCCTTCAATGTATTTAAATACAAGTATCTATTTTGTAAACTTATTGATTGTTCTATCAATACTTTTGAAGATAATGCAGCATTTTGAAACATTTTTCCGAAATCAAAAAGTGAAGCTTTACAAATTTTTCAAAGGGTTTTAATATGACACCTTTCACGCGATTATCTTTTATGTTTTCCGTTTTAACCCTTCAAGCGCCATAAAAATCCCATGCAGTCGCATGCGCCCGGCAAATCCCGATCGGTCGCATGCGGCCGCACCCACCCACAGCACTTAAAACCATTAAAACTTATATTTAGAGACAACTTTTTTATGAAGAAGTTTAGCATTATAAAATCTATATATAATTCTCTATCTTGTGACTATACTAAAACTCTAGTAAAACACTAGAAAAATAAAAAAATCAACAAAATAACATTCACGCAAAAATGGCGTACGAAATAAGCGTAGATTACAAATAAATATTCATAGGATAACAGTTTTTTTATTACACTAGACTAGAGGATAAGAGTATTTCATATTGATTATATGATTCTAAACTTCTTCATAGAAAAGTAATCTCTATATATAAGTTTTATGGGTTAAAGTGCTGTGGGTGGGTGTGACCTCATAATGTCCTTATGGATAGAGATTGACGGAATATGGCCGCGGTCTCATGAGACCGCTAGGGGGTTGAGAGGTTAAACTAATTGAGTGGATTATTATTCGGCCCAGCTTCACTCGTGTGATTTCTGGATCTTGACAACAGCGCCACCTACAGGGTCCAATTGAGTTTTTAAACCATCCAGGGATCCACTTAAATACACACAAAATAATTCATAAAAATCGATCGAGCCGTTTTTGAGTTTCAGCGAGACTATCGGACAGCAATTGATATTTATATATAGGGGATTTACCAAATGAATTATTTTATTTCTTGATCGGTAATCATTTGTCCATGTTCTATGCCTAATTTCAATGATCTTCATCTTTATATCTACCTTAAAAGCCATGATAACAGACAAACATTGAAGTGGTTTCATAATTGTTCTAATCGTATTATACAAATTTCAACATGGAATTTATATATATAAAGGTTGGCAAAGTGCTTCTGAAAACTTTTAATAACAATGAATTAATCGTTTTATATCCTAACTTTCTTCCGTAAATGAACCTGCAGATATAAAATTCAACTTGGTATCTTCTTCTACATCAACCAATAAAACTCCACTGCGGTACATGACACTCTATTGTTATAATAATAAAAATTTGAGTACTTGCGGATTTGTTTTAATTACACTTGGCAGGTAGACGTCAGTGAAAGGCGTCTTGCATCTTTGTTACCCCCCATCACGTTTTTGGGTTGGTATACTTTATGCCAAAGGTAAAGGAGAGGGAATTTTCTGACATTTCCCATAGTCGCCTTTAAGACACCCATGTAAAAACCACCATCTCATCACACGGCAACATATTTATACTTTATAACAACATAGTTATACTTTATAATAACATATTTGTACTTTATAACAACATAGTTTTACTTTATAACAACATAGTTATACTTTATAACAACATAGTTATACTGTATAACAACATAGTTTTACTTTATAACAACATAGTTATACTTTATAACAACATAGTTTTACTATATAAAAACATAGTTTCACTTTACAACAACATAGGTTTACTTTATGACAACACAGTTTTACTTTATAACAACGTAATTATACTTTATAACAATATAGTTTTACTTTATAACAACTTAGTTTTACTTTTTGTCAATAATTAGGCCATTAGCCTTATGAAATCATTGCCGTTATCGGTACAGCCTATTAAAGTACCCTGCTGAATATATCCTTATATTATATGCCTTCCCCATTGAAAAGGAACCAAGGTTTTCAATTATAAGGCAATACTTATGCAATTAATTTCCGTTAATTCTATTTATGCACAGAGTGATCATCTCGACCGGGGAACAAATCCGATCTCTAACTTCACTTTAATATTCCTTTGAATTTACATCATTGGAAAGATGATTTCAACCGGGGAAACAATCCGGTAACATAATTTATATCTTAAATTCCTTATGAATTTATTAAGCGATATTATTTAGGAAAACAAATAAACTAGTCCGGCCTGGGAGTCGAACCCAAGACCTTCATATCATTAATTCGATATTTCTTTAAGATTTAACTAAGCATTTTCTTATCAGAACCTTGCTATTGGACAATATGCCTTTGAGAAGTTATTCGTCATCGGTTGACTTAATAAACTGAAATATTCTAATAGGCGCGTCGCCAACACCCATAGACTCACACAGAGGAGATACTTTGACATAGTTCCATAGTTGCCATAGTTTCCTCGCTTGGCAGGCGGGGATGAATTGAATGAAGACGTATTGACTATTCTGTTCCCTTGACCTTTAGAGACCGCAGAAATTTGCAAACGTTTTTTATAATTGACTCGTACGATACCCAAAAGACAAAGATGAAGATGTTCTTTGAAAAAGTTTAAATTTTAGCAAAGAATGTATAAAAAATTTAAGAAAGTTGCGCTTAAATTTCTCAATGGATGAATGATAATAGACTACAAAACACATTTAAAATATGTAACGAAACGTTCACTTTCTTTATTCATGCTTGGATTTATTTTCGTATGCAAATCCGGCGACGACAAAATATGGCTGACATACTTACTGATTCACTTACCTTGCTACCTCCAAACAGACAACACGGGTCAGGGCATACTCGTTGGTCTACCACGCACTCAGAGCAAGGAATAAAATTCTGTGTTCTAATACTTGGAATTGTAAATTAGTTAACAAGAAAAAAATACGACACGTAAAAATTTTGAAATAAATATATATATTATTTATAAACATACAGCTTTTCATGAATTTAAATTTAGTAATGCGTCGCAAATAACGCTACATGCATAAAACTAGCATATTATTACTGTTATAAACTGACTAATGAGTTGCCACCTTTGTGATGCGTGAGGAAGAGAAAGTGTCTCCATAATATCCTTTGTTTACGTTTGTACAATTTCGTTAGTATATCTAATAAAATTTTAACAAATACGTTTGAGTCGTTTTTTGATTATTTAAAATTTAAAATTGATTATTTTTGATTATTTATAATTTAAGCGACAGTAGCCTAATGGCAGGGCGCGGACCGCGAACTCAAAAAGGTCGTGGGTTTGAATCCGCCATTCGACTATTGGCGTGAACCACTCGTAACACAAGCAATTTAAGCTTACCACGAGTGGTTAAGGGGAATATTAGTAATATTTATAGCATTGTTAATATTCTTTTAAAAAATGTTCAAAAGTAGGTTTTTCATCCAATCACTGCATTCATGTTCTCACTTATGTAAAGAATTTAACGAAATTAGTGAAGATTTTGAAGTATG